TAGCTTGGGTGTTTGTTTCTGCTTCCATCCCCTACTGGGTGAAGGCTCTAGGAAAACATATAAGGCAGTCATCAACCTCAATATCTGAGAAGGTCTTTTAAGGTACCCTCTTGACTATAGCTTAGATTGTTAGTTATGGACAACCTTGTAGATCGTTGGACCTTTCCCTAATGCCAGATTTCTCTTTAAACCTATAAGGCTCCCTCTATTATGTTATCTCTTTTCTTGATCTCCCCTTATCTTACACTGGCTTAATCTGACTACTCTGTCTTATCATCCTCTCTCCTCCTATTCTCCCCTTCTCTTTCTTCTAATTACCACTCCCCCCTCCATGCTCCCATGTAGCTTAGGAGATGCCCCTTTCCCATTCTCTGGAAGACCAAGTATGTATCCCTTAGGATTCTCTGTGTTTCCTAGCTTCTGTGATGTTGTTGATTGTAGGGTGCTACTACTTTGCACTAGGTGTAAAATCCAGATATAAGTGAGTACATACCAATATTTTGTGAATGAGTTACCTCACTCAGCATGGTTCCTTATATTTCTATTCAATTGCCTGTGAATTTCAAGATACAATTGCTTTTTCCTCTACTGAGTAGTACTCCATTGTGTAAATGTACCACATCTTCTCCATCCATTAGTTAGTTGAGTAGCATATAGGTTGTTTCCGGTTTTGGGCTATTATATATAATGCTGCTATGAACATGGTTGAGCAGATGTCTTGTTGTATAAATGGACATATTTTAGGTATATGCCTAAGAGTAGAATTGATGGATATTGTGGTAGACTGATTCTTATTTTTCTGAGGAACTGCTATACTGATTTCCAATGTGCTTGCATGAGTTTCCATTTCTACCAGTTGGAGGAGTGTCCCCCCATTCTCCACATCCTCTCCAGCGTAAACTGTCATTTGTGCTTTTTGATTTTAGCCATTCTGACAGGAGTAAGATGGCACCTCAGAGTTGTATTGATTTGCATTTCCCTGATGGCTAAGGATGTTGAGCAATTTCTTATTTGTCTTTCAACCATTTTAGATTCCTCTATTGAGAATTATCTCTGTAGTTCTGTACCCAACTGTTTAATTGAATTCATTCCTGTTTTGGTGTCTAGATTCTTGAGTTCTTTGTATATTTGAGAAATCATCCCTCTTTCAGATGTGTGGTTGGTGATTATCTTCTCCTAGTCAGTTGGCTGCTGATTTGTCTTGTTGACTGTCCTTTGCCATAGAGAAGCATCTCAGTTTCAGGATGTCCTTTTTAGTAATTGCAGATCTCAGTATCTGTGCTACTGGTGTTATGTCTATGAAGTTGACTCTTGAACCAAGTCTTTCAAGGGTACCTCCTACCTTCTTTTCGAAGAGGATCGGTGTGGCTGCATATATGTTGAGGTCTATGATCCATTTGGACATAAGTTTTAGGCATGTCAATAGACATGAATCTATGTGAAGTCTTCTATATGCCTGCATCCTGTTATGCCAGCACCATTTTTTGAAGATGCTTTCTTTTTTCCATCGTATAACTTCAAATTCTTTGTCCACAATCAGATGTTCATCAGATGTTCATAGGTGTGTGGGTTAATATCAGGGTTTTCAATTTGATTCCATTTTTCTACCTGTCTATTTCTGTGCCAATGCCTATCTGTTTTCAGGACTATAATTCTATAATGCAGCTTGTAGTCAGGAATGGTGAGGTCTCCAGTAGTTTCTATATTAAACAGGTTGTTTTGACTAACCTGGGTTTCTTGTTTTTCCATATAAAGTTGAGTATTGTTCTTTCAATTGTGTTGGGATTTTGATGAGGATTGCCTTTAACCTGTAGATTGCTTTTGGCAGGATTGCTATTTTTACTATATTGATCGTACCTATGCAAAGCATGGGAGATCTTTCCATTTTTGGTATCTTCTTTAATTTCTTTCTTTAAAGACTCAAAGTTCTTACTATACAGGTCTTTCACTTGTTTGGTTAGCATTACCCCAAGATATTTTATGTTATTTGTGGCTGTTGTACAGTATGATGTTTCTCTGATTTCTTTCTCTTCCCATTTATCATCTGTATATTGTAGGGCTACTGACTTTTTTTTAGTTAACTTTGTATCCTGCCATACTCCTGAAGGTTTTTGTCAGCTCTAGGAGTTCCCTGGTAGCCTTTTTCACATCACTTATGTAAACTATCATAGCTTCTTCAAATAGTGAGAGATTGACTTCTTCTCTTCCAATTTTATCCCCTTGATCTTCTTTTGTTGTCTTACATCTCTAGCTGGAACTTCAAGTACAATATTGAAGAGATATGGAGAGAATGGCAGCTTCTTTGTCCCAGATTTTAGAGGAATTGCACGGGGTTTCTCTCCATTATTGTGATGTTGGTTGTTGGTTTGCTGTATATTGCTTTTATTATGTTTAGATATGTTCCTGTTATTACTTATTTCTCCAGGACTTTTATCTTGAAGTAGTGTTGGATTTTGTCAAAGTATTTTTCAGCATCTAGTGAGATGATCATGTGGTTTTTCTTTTTATGTTTGTTTATATGGTCCATTGCATTTATAGGTTTTCATAAGTTGTATCATCCCTGTATCCCTGGGATGAAGCCACTGCTATAATATTGAATCCATGTGCTCCCTTTCATTTGAATTTCTGTAAGTTCTATTGTACTACTACACCCATCTCTAATGCGAGTCATGGATTTACAAGTTTTCTGATGTTCTAGTAAATGTACTATACTTCTACACTAATGTGTCAGTGTTAACTGTTCTTCTTCTACACTACTTCTTAAATAAAAAGGTGCCGATTCATTGATTTCAATACATCTGGGTACATTCCCTTAATAATAAATCCATTCTTTCTGCAGTTTCATTAGGACCATATGAGCAATGTATGTGCTGATCCTTTTCAGGTAAGTCTTTAATTATTTCAAAGATACTGAAATTTTCACGTTTGAATTTTTGAAGACTGTAGGGTTTTAAAATTATGTATTTTTAAATATTGCAAATTTGAGACATAGGGGATAATCAAGAAAGGAAACACATATCTTATTAGTGAGGCATTTTTGTGAAGTTGGTAAATACTCAATGGTGTTGATTGGTAATTTGCCAGTTTGACAAAAATTATAGTCATCTGGAAGGAGGGAACCTTAACTGAGAAATCAGTTTTACCTGATTGACCTGCAGGGATGCTTTTGGAACATATTCTTGGCTCATGTTTAATGTGTCAGAGCCCAGCCCACTAGATTTCCAAACATGTTCAGATTATATTGAGTTATATTAAACATCAAGCTTAATGATCCATGAGTAAAACATTAGGGACCACCTTTCCTCTATGGACTCTGTGTCAGATCTTGACTGGAGTTGGAAAGCATAAGCTGAAATAAACCCTTTTCTCCAAAGTTGATTTTTGTCATATTGCTTCACGCCAGCAGGAAGGAAGTTATCTCCGTGTGGGCAAACCTTCTGATGACTATTATTAGGCAAGACATTCAATGAAATATGCAAGCAAGAATGTTAGACCTTGGATTATGGAAGTGGTCCAGGTGGTATTGGCACTGAGAGAACTGCCCAAGGAAAGCCAGTTTTGTAGCCTCAATACTAGGTAAGACCTCAAAGGAATAGCACTGGTCGTCAACCCCAAGAGAAACTCAACAGGCAGTGCTAGTGAGCAATGAAAGCCTCTGCAGGTAGGTCTGGAAGTACAGAAACCCCCAGAGCACTAGATGCATGCAGAACTCACTAGGAAATGTAGAAACAGTTTCCACAGAGCTTCTTCTGTGAGTGTGGGAATGTCAAAAGTGAGTGAGGTTATGTGGACATCACCAGGCAAACATGGAGCATGATGGGTGCATTTATGTAGAGGCCTTGGACTGTTCAGGTAGTTGTGGAAGGTTGGTTATCAGGGGATACAGCAGGAGAAGAAAGTGTGTGAGATGCTTGATAGGAATTCAATATGGGATTGTGGTGATGGTGCTGACAGAAGAGATGATTTGGGAAATACACGGCAAAACTGTTTTGTGATCTGCACTTCTGGATGTAGACTGCTGTACCTGGGAGTGTGGGGATAACACTGCCAGGAGTTGTGCTGTAGACTCCAAAAATGGAAACCACTGCTTCTCCTGTTAATTTTAGGGAGTGTGGAGATGGCATAGACAAGCCTGTTTCTGAAGGAAGCACCAAGAAAAACTGGTATAGGAACTACCACATCAATTGGGTCTCACATCACCTTTATCAGATAAGTTTTTGGTGATTTTAAGCAGGCATACAAGACCATAACTGGATGGCTGATGGCAGAGGGGAGCAGGTATCTTCAGGAACTGATCAAAAAGCCACTGAGAGTACTGTATTACTAAAATTAATTGCAGTGCTGGAGTTCAAAGCTTTGGAGCTCAAAAGCAAAACTGTTAATGAATTTGTGTATCATTACCTACACATCTACACAAAGGAGTATGAGCATAATACTAGAAGTGAAGTCCACAGATGATTATCAGGCAAGCCTATTTTGTGATTTGTTCATTCCTGTATAGCTCATGGAGTTTCTAGACGGCAAAAGTGTGTTTGGTTTTTGGATGAATCATTTGGGAAAACTATTGCAGAAGCTACATGATCTGAGCTTGGGAAAGTTAGTTTCATGGGAGAGATTCAGGTCAAGACCAATCTTCAATTTATGTAAATAGATATGAGCCTTAGACTATGGCAATTTTACATGTGTGCTTGTATCTGGAATAAGTACCAGCAAAAGGTGTTGACAGAGCTGCATGGCAGGAGGTAGGGATAGGAGTGACACTCTAGATTCAGCATACCTGAACAATATCTGAATATATGATCATCACGATCAGAGTTAGGATGTTAAAACATTTAAACAAAGGAACACCTTAGAAAGATAGAAGAAGAAGTCATTTAGACAGACACAGAGAACCCTGCTGAAGTTTTATTTAGAATGGGTAGATGACTATATGAGTTTTGCATATGAATAGGAAATTTCTTCAAGGCAGCTTCTGACAGGATGTTGCAATTGAACTACCCCTAAATACAGGCCTCTTGATTGGCCACTATGCAAAAACATTGGGCATTCACCTGACTCTGTAGTTTCAAAGAACATACTTCAGAGAGAAACATGGTCACTCCAAAGAGTGACATGGTGGCTGTCAGGACCCCTAATGGGAAGATGACTGTAAGCTGTTTGCTTATCATGGCTTCCTTTTTAACAGGAAAGTCAAGAGTCATTTGGCCATAAAGATCTACCATGTAGTTCCAGCTCATAGAAACAAATGTGAAGAGCCTGATAACAAACAAAACTAAGGCAGAGACCTTGTAGCAATATATCTGCATTACAATAAATGGGTCTCTCATGCAGCTGATCTTAATTGCCATCAAACTGAACACTAGAACTACAGGCTTCATCAAAATGGCCCATATTATCAGATTCTGTGCATAATAAAATTCACAAGAGATGGTCTAGGTGGAATGATAGGATATGCACCAGCATCTTGATTACAGTTCCTGAGACATTAAACTCTTGAGGGCAATGAGCTTCCCATAGTCTAAAGGACACCAACTGCACAATAGTGTTGTTAAATCCCTTCAGGTGCCAGTTTTGGCTGTTCAAAATGACTATTTCAAACACCAAAACTGATAGGCTGCTAAGGAGGCCAGTCAGCTTGAAGATGCACCTCTTCCCATTGGCATATCTGAAGATGAGATTGAATAAATATGTAGTCAACCATGAGCATAAGGGAGGATGAGAAATCAGAAGAAGTCATGGTTTACAGAGCATACATAATTGTATTTAAATAGTCTATCTTTGTATTAGTATAACTAACTGGAGGATCCAGCATTCAGTCACCATCATAGTATGCAAAAAAACCACAAATGTGGTTATGGCTAGACTTTTCTCTCCATGGGACAAATAAGGAAACATAGGCCTTCTGTGCTTTACTCTATTTCTCTTTTACTTCATCTTGATAACCTCCTCTCTGAAAATCTCTCTTGCTTCTCTACATAACTCTAAACAGTATCTTAATTAGCTCTACACCTCTTCTCCTTGCTCTCTTCAACAGCTTCTCTCTAATTCTGCACAGCCTCCACATATCTCTACACCCTTCCTCCCACCTCCTTCTTCATAGCTCTACTCAACCTCTCTCTGATCAAAACCTCTGGAAAATGATATGTTACACTTCTGGGTTCAACCCATCCCATCACAGAAGATAAGTCACATAGTATCTCTTAGGCTAAGGAGGTCCCATTGATCAGCCAGTGAGTAATAATTGGCCATGTACATAGGCTAAATGGTTAGTCTCAGACAGAAAGTACACAGTAGGCTGGACCTTGACCCTGTTATATAAACTGAGGCTGGGATTACCTGAAAAGGACAATTACTGTAGAGGATTATGCCTACCAAAATTGCTCCTAGCCTAACCTTGAATCAACAATAAACAATACCTGGGAAAATGACCTCATGTATTTGTCTCTAGGGGAAATCAGATATTCACCTCCAGGATCAATCACTTTGTTTGAATTTGTTCCGAAGTCTCAATTAGCTGTCTTTGTGACTGGAAATCTTATTAATTTCCTATGTCAGTTTGAATAATGAGAAATATCGTAGTGTTATTTATATTCATCAGAATTAGACATTGAAGCAGAAATCATCTTGCTGATAATCCATAGTTATAGGTGTGACCAGTAGATTGAATGTTTACATGAGATAAACAACCAAGCATTTGGAAAAAGACCCATAGCAGTTGTTAGGGAAGGAATGCCCTTCTTAGGGAAGAAACAAAGTGGCACATGGGAAAAATTACAGACAGGGCAACTAGTTTCCACAGCCAGTAACCATATAGACTTTGCCTAGTGGGAGTCATTCATCTGGTGGGTCAACCTGCTGAATACTAGGTGTCACCAAGCTGTATGCTCCCATGACTCTCTACGTATTAGGGTTCATCATACTACAGATAGGAAGCCCTATACTCCATGACTATAACAAAAGTTCCCACTATAAGATGTATTGTTTAGCAATTTCACTATATTGCCAAATGTTGCAATGTGAACATTTGTTAACTAAGAACTTCAATGCTTATAATTAACAGTGAAAAATAGTTTGCAGTATGCTTATTTGTGTGTGTGATATAAAATATAATAGCTAACATGTGAGTTATAATCTAAGATGTTCAAATATAATTTCTAAATTATCTTATTTGACTACTACATGACTATTGCAAACTAATGTCTGCCGAATGAAGAAGCAAATTTAAAATTGATACATGTTATTCCCATTCATGACTAAACTCCATATATGAATCTTTTATACATGTGTGTATATACACATGAGTATACACATAAATACACACACACGTATACACACACACACATATACACACACACAAACACAAATACAAACACAAATATGGCAACAGAAAAGACAACCATCAAAAGGGTTGTAGGTGGATGAACCTAGCAGTGTAGAATGGTTTTTGTATTTGTGCAATTTCAGACATGTGTGCCCTTTAAAAAATCTGTACATATTTTATAATTAAAGCCACATTGAACCAGTTACGGTAAATTCAAAATATGTGTTTATCTGATCTATGTATATGATATAGACTATGTATATAGATCAGTGGTGTGATGTTTGGTGAACATGGAGACCCTGATTCTATTCCTGTGTGCCAAAAATAAAAATCTATGTGTAAAACTCAAGGATCCATGAACATTTCCATCCTTGACCCAGAACATACTGAGATATTAATTTTCTGATAAACTACTCCATATAATTTGGAATGTAAACTGTCCTGAATATATGTGTGAACAACTATATTCTTTATCACAAAACTGAGACTCTACATTTACTGTGTGCAACAGAACATTTAAATTACTTCTCATTTCAAATCTATGGATGTGATGTATGCTCACAAAGAACTATGTCCCTAGGGATGCCACTGTGTACTTAGTAAAGCAAGCAAGGTAAGTTTTCTAGCCAGCAACATATAGAGAATATCATTGCCACTGCACATGCTGAAGTTTTCAGGAGTCTGTAAACAGGATCACCTTGATGACATTCCTTCCATATAGCTGACACTGCTCCACAGTTTCTATGGAATATGCATTTTATCTTAGACAAGACAGGTGCTGTACTTCTAGGGAACTTATACCAGCAAAATGGGTTTTCAATTGATGGTAACTTGCCTAACACCCTACCCACACCGTCTCTCTGACAAGGCAGATTTAAGTCAGTGGAGTGAAGGAACAGTGCCCTTTGAAGCACAACTGGAATTAGGGTAGCAAATGCTGGTCTTACACACAAATGAGCTAGCCTGGCCGTGTCTGATTCTGTCCCTGTCTGAATCACATGGCGTAGATTCATGTGTGTCAGAGAGATCCAATTAAAAACTGTACATGTATCTCCTTTTTAGTATTTACCTTCACATATCATGAGTGGTACAGAGATCTATTTGAAGATGCCAAGATCATAAATGTCTTCCAAATAACAGCAACTGTTGAACAGATAGGGAGTCACATAAGAGGTGAATCACCTTCAGTAAAAGAAGTTGTGTTACACATATTTCAGTACACAACAGTGTCTCACCAAGCAACCCCTGGTTCACACAAACCTATCCTTTAATCTTCTCTTCTTTGCTTCATTGTAGCCTCATTTATACATTCAGGGATATCAGCCCATCTGATATCCCCATCCATCCATTGAGATCCACAAAATCTTTGGCCCAGTTTGTAGATAGAAGAGCAACACAGAGAGTCTAATTCACAAATTCAACTTTAGGAAACCATACAGGTATAATAGTCAATACTGGCTGCAGAGCCTTCATAGACATTCAGGGATTCCCAGAATTTCTAATACTCACAAAGGAATCCTATCAAAGAATAGATTAATCATATGGTAGTGAAATCCTTGTCCTTCTTTGTCCTGTGAAAAGAATGAGATTAATAAAAACTACATAGAAATCCTAATATTCTTTCCTTTGTCTCTTTTATGAGGTCCAAATATTAGTGAGTGCCAAATGCAAGATAAGTAAATCTAGAAATTCTGTTTCCATGGCCACCAGTGTTGAATAGATGATTATAAGCAATGAACCAGTGTCCTGACATATAACTTTAAAGTGCCAAAGTTGTTTATGTCCCTCTCATATGTAAAGTTTTAAAGTAATAATTAATTTATTTATAATAATATGAAAAGTTTCCTAATACAGTATAATTGGATCAGATTATAAAGTAAAATTTTGTTTTCCCTTTTCCATCTCTATTGAAATCCTTCCCTACCTGCATACTCACCCAAATTCATGGGTATTTGCTCATGACCCATACTCTGTGAAATATCTTAAAATGAACAAATGTCTACAGAGACTAAAATACAGAAGCAGAACAGTAATAAACAGTCTCTCCTGAGTGATAAAAGTAAAGTGATCCCTCTTGTGATGGCTAACTCTTTCGGTCATGCTTATTGACCTGAAATGTAGAGGAAATCCTAGTGATGTTACATTGAAAAAAAAACTCACTTTCCTTTTCCAAAAAGGTATCAATTTCAAATAGTTACTTGGTTATTTATAAGCCTTTGTGTCCAATACCCTGTTATGGTGAAAGCATATTATCTGGTTTGAACTTGTGAAGGTCTTGTGTATGTGTTGTTACAATCTACCTGAGTTCTCATGGTGTAACAGTCATGCAGTGTCTGGAAGACCTTGTTTCCTCTGTGTCCTCCACCACTTCTGGCTCATACAATCATTCCCCATTCCCTTCTATGTAGATTCTCATGCACAAAGGGGAGGACATTGATAAAGAGGTCTCTTTTAGGACTGAATCTCTCACACTATGCACATTTGTGGGTCCTTTCACTCATTATCATCTACTGGAAGAACAGTTTCTATGATGTGATTTAATTGGGGTAGTGATCCATGAGTATAAGAATATTTCTTTAGGATTTGTTTTACTTTAGTGTTCCTTTATGTGAATAATAGGTTGCTGCTATGCCTGTGGATTATGCAATATCCAGTACCTTTTCATTTTATCATTGTCAAGTATGGTTTCCATCTTTTAGAATATAAATAGAATGCAATAAAAAGTGACTGGTTACTGCCAAATCCTTTGTGGCACTGCTACACAAGTATTACTTATAGACAAGTTATGTTCATCCTCTAATTTTTCAGTTTCTTAAAGCACCATGACCACAAACCAGTGGATGTTCAAAAGACTTAAAGAAAAAATTAAGTTAATTGAATGACATCACATGTTGGCATGGCTGATGGGAAAGGGTAATATTTATCATTGAAGATGGCATTACAGAGTTGTACAGCTACTTTGCAAATCAATGTCCCTATTCTCAGAAGGATGGAAGTTGATATATCTCAAAATTAGATTATTTCACTCTAGGGCATGTACCAAAAGGATTCTATGTGGAACTGCATGCATGCTCACTCAAACATGTTCATCTCTGCTCTGTTAAAAATATCCAGAGATTGGAAACATACTAGAAGTCCATCTCATGTTAAATGTGTAATGAAACCTAGTTACACTTATAAAATCAAATATTATTCAGCTATTAAAATGCAATTATGGAATTCACAGATAAATGAATAGAGATAGAAAACAATGATTCAGAGTGAGTTAAGTCAGACACAAGAAGACAAATTTTGTAAATTATATCTTGTATGTGGGTGATAGATGTCGGCTTTTAAGATTTCAATCCAGAAACCT